CGATTTGGGAGGGACGACTCAATGCCCACACCCGTGCTGCCAGGACCCCTCCCATGGAGCAGGGACCGACCGTCCCGGCATTCCTATAGTCCTGCCACGAAATGTTGTCAGAACCCAAAAATGGTCTCAGAACCAAAACCATGTTCTTAAAGCAAAAACCCGATGTGCTAAAACAAGACAGACTCCGCCAGAAATGTTCTAAGAACAGTTCGTGGAACCACAAAAGGTTCTTAGACCATTGTTTGGTAGGGCTATAGGCGAGCCAGGACGCTTCGCCACTGCTCGATCCCACGTGCACCATGGCGAGACTGTCGAGGGGCACCCGGCTGTGGCGACGGTGCGCCTCCCGGGAGGTCGCACAGGCCCGGATCGATCGAGAGGCATCGGCATCGGTGCGTTCCTCCGTGCGGGCAAGGTTCGTATCCATATCCAGTGCGTTTTGGACTTTTTGGGAAGGAGCGTCACAAGGCCGAGGTGCAGTGGATATGGATAAAAAATCGAGCCTCTAGGAAGAGGGAACGCGTTTCTGAATGTTCGGCGATGACGGGCATCATGGGGGGGGGGAGAGCGGGGGGGGGTATGACGTGACGCCCCCCCCCCGCCGTGTGGCTCCAGCACCATAGCCGCGCCCGCGCGCACGACGCGACGAGCGACGAGCGACGAACGACGACGACGACGCGAGCAGCATGTAAGTGGCGATCTGCCCATTGCGCCTGTGTGCACCACAACGCTCGCGTGCACCACACCGCGCGTGTGCACCACAGCGCCTGCGTACACCGCAACAGCCGTGTGCAACGCACCGCCCGCGTATACCACAATAGCGGGGAACACTACAGCGCTGGTGTACACACTCCGCAGCAACCATGTTCAACACAACGCTTGTGTACACAACTGTGCTAGCGTGCACCGCAGCGCCTGTGCACGCCACAGCGCCTGTCTACACCACAGCATCCGCGTGCAACGCAGCGCTGGTGTACACCACAGTGAGTGCGTGCATAGGACAGGTAGAAGGAGCATGTACGTCTGGGGCTGCTGCGGACAACTGAACGCCACGCCAGGAAAATTCTGACAATCGAATGCGACGTTTTTCCCTCCTCCCTCCTCCTCCACCTCGTCCTCCTCCTCCTCCTCCTCCTCCTCTTCCTCCTCCCCCTCCTCCTCCTTCTCCTCCTTCTTACCCCCTGTCGTGCGGCTTGGCGTTACAACGCACGTGCGCATCTCAGCGTGCACCGCAGAATGGTCGATTGAATCGGTCGACTTGGTTCTCGGACGGCCAGATTAGCTGGAGACTCCTGGACGCAAATGGGAGTTAGGGTGATGCGGGCGGACTCGGGGGGACCCGTAGATTCCAGCGGCGCTCCTTCGTCCATAAGGATTTGTGTTCCATTGTTTTCTCTGGAATCCACACGCGCTCCAATCTGTCACAACGATTCCGTTTGAAATTCTATAAACAACAATGTGCTGTGTTGCATACGGCTGATGTGGTGCACACGCGCGCCGTGGCGTACACAGGCACTGCAATGCACGCAGGCATTGTGGTGTAAACTGGTGTTGTGTTGCGCACGGCGGATGTGGTGTACGGAGGCGCTGTGGTGTACACAGGAGCTGCTGTGCCCGCAGGCGCGGTGGCACAAACTGACGCTGTGTTGCACGCGGCTGCTGTGGTGTACATCGGCGGTGTGGTGTAAACCGGCGCTGTGGTGCACGCGGGCACTGTGATGTACACAAACGTTGTGGTGCATATCGCCACCTGCATGTTCGAGCTCCCCGACCTCCGCCATTCCTAAGCATTCCCAGACGCCGCCGGCGCGAAACGTGACGTCATCGACCCCCTGCCCCCCTGGATGATTGCCGTCATCGGCCTAGACTTAAAAACAGGTTCCAGCCGCGTCCGCGCGCACGACGACGATCAGCGACGAGAGACGAACCACGAGCGACGACGACGGACGACGACGACGACGACGACAACGACGACGACGCCTGCGGACCAAATACCTATGCGGATTCCCACGCGGTCACCTACGCGGATCCCAATGCGCACGGCGGCAGTGCCCGGAGCGCACTGCGGGGGGAGCGTTACGTCATAGGGGGGGGGAGAGCGGGGGCCATGACGCCCGTCATGCCCCAAGCAATAAAGAAACGGGCTCTAGGGGGCAAATTTATCCATACCCAGCGCACCTCTGGTTTCTGGGGAAGGGAACCCGAAACTCCATATCGCAGTGGACATGGACAGAAGTATTGCCCACACTCCGCTGCTTCCGCTCAGCCCGGGGTGGGGGGGCGTCGCCTGCCGCGGAGGCGTCACCAGTCCCGCTGGCGAGCAGGAGAGCCTGACGGGAGGCCGCGCGCGCCGCGCGCCGCGCGCGCGGCCGACGCGCGCGCATGGCCCGCACTGTGTCGTTTGTGGAGAGGCGACGCACCTTCTAGCAGGACGCTGCACTCGAAGCCTGCACCAGTCCCGGCCGCGCCCGCCTGGGCCCAGGATCGGTGTGCATGCCCTCGCGGCCTGGGCAGGAGAACACACGCGCCGGCCCTGGGCCCACGCTTGGCCTGGCTGGGCTCGGCGTGCAGGTGTGCGGCTGCTGCCCTCCGGTCTCCGGGGTGGCCCGCCTGTCCCGCCGCGCCGCTGTCCGAGCCGATGCCCCGTGCGATCCTCGGGAGGCAGCTGCTGGGAGGCCTCCGCGCGCAGGGCTCCGGGCCCCAGTAGGGAGCCGAGCCTCCAGGGGCCGCTCGGGCGGAGCAGCGGAGGAGGAGGAGGAGGAGGAGGAGGCGGAGGAGGAGGAGGAGGAGGAGGAGGCAGAGGAGGAGGAGGTGGAGGAGGAGGCGGAGGAGGAGGAGGAGGAGGAGGAGCATGAGGAGGGGGAAGATGGGCACCTGGAAGGTCAGCGGGGCCCGCGGGAGAGAGCTCGGGCCCCGCCAGCCGCCGCGGGGGGCGGGGGCGGGTGGACCCGCCGAGGCCCCCTCTGCACAAAGCCACCGCGCCCCTCTCCTCCTCCTCCTCTCCTCCTCCTCCTCTCCTCCTCCCTCCTCCTCCTCCTCCTCTCCCTCCTCCTCCCTCCTCCTCCTCTTCCTCCTCCTCCGTTTGCCGCACGTCCCCCCCCCCCTCAGGAGGGTCACGGCAACGGCAGTACCTCAGAGGCGGGCGCCCGAGCCCGCCGTCATCTGCGTGCCACCGCACCGCTCGGGCGCCCATGCCCCGTGCACGGCTCGGCTTCGCGCGTGTTTTTTTTTTTGGGGGGGGGGGGGGCAGATGATCCATCCTCCTCCCTCCTCCTCCCTCCTCCTCCTCCTCCTCCTCCTCCTCCTCCTCCTCCTCCTCCTCCTCCTCCTCCTCTGCTGTTGGCAGGCCACTTCCTTTTGTCTGGCGCGCCTGCTGCGCCCAGAGGTCTTTGGGAAGGCCCGCGGCGCCCGCCTGGGGGGGGGGCGCCCTCGCCGAGAAAGAGTCCACACGTCCGAACGATGCCAAGTTCAGGCAACCCGACGGGGTGAGGAACCGAAGCCTCCGACTGCTTGGCCTGTTCCCGTTCGGGTGCCGGGGAACTCTTGAGCCCTTTCCTGGGGCCATCCTGTCACCCCGACATGCTTGGATGGCGGTCCGCGGGGACCGAGAAGAGCTTCCAGAGACTCGGACATGATTGACAAAAATCTGGGACCTGAGATTGGAGGTCTCCCAGGTGGGGTCAGAGCAAATGGGGTTGGCAGATCGCGACGTATCGCCGATGCATCGGCAACGTCGGAATGAAGCAGACAAGGCTCCAAATCGATCTACATAACCCATGCTTCGGCGATGTGGGGGGGATCCCACTGACACCAGCACCCAGCGAGCACGGAGGAGGGAAACCTTTGCCAGACCAAGGAGGCAGCGATCTAGGATTGTTTCGGGGAGCTGTCTTCGAGAGGGGCATCCCTGACCAACACTTGGAAATTACCTCCGTTTGGGTCTGATAAGGAGTCCCTGTCAAGACACAGGTGGGCGGCCCGGAGATATGTTCGAGTCTTCTGGAAGGAACGGAAACGATCACCATGACCACGACTGACCTCTTCAACGTAGGTGTCGATCTTGGTCACCGTCCATCTTGGTTTCCATCGATTCGAGGACCATCCTCGCGAGTCGGCGACGGCTGGCATGGACCATGGCACTGGCAAAGCTTCGGGGTTGCGCACAGGCAGCCCCCCAGCAGTCCCAGCTGGCCTCAACAGGCCTCCCGAGCAGTGGTCTCAACAGGCCTCCCGAGTATCGGGAGCGGCAAAGAGGGGGGTGTCCAAGAGGGGGGGGTGCAAATGATGACCGGCGGCATGTGCGCGGCCCATCGGGGGGGCCAGGGACGTAATGAAATAAGAGGGGGCGCCATGAAATCTGGGGAAATATCATGGCCCCCGCCATGATATCCACCCCCCCTAGTCATCACCCCCCTCTTCTCCGCTCCCGAGAGTAGCCTGGGGCGTTCTCAACACCCCGAACCCTGGGGCGCGGAGCGCCCCAGGGGCGCCGCGGGAGGCGGCTCCAGGGTGGGGCTAGCCTGGACTGCCTGGGGTGGCTGTCTGCGCGCAGCCCCAAGTGTCTTACCCCATGACACCACGACCAAAGGTCGGCGTCGACAACATCGCGCGACAGACATTTTATGGCCAGCGTGCTGACTCCATCGAGCTACGGACTGGCATTTCTTCCATGACGGGGCGGCGGGAGCCAGCCAAGCTGGCGCGCCGAGCGCCCACCAGCGCCTCCGCCCAAGCCAGCGGCTGGCGGCAGCATGCATGCCCGCCGGTCCCATCGTGGCCTGCCCTGATGGTTCCCAGACTTTCGGCAGTTCGAACAGACGAGCCGCAGAAACTGAACGTTTGGACGCCCGAGATGGGTACGGACAAAAATGGGTACAATGCCCAACAACAAATGTTGCCCCAGACCAACAGCGGCCGCTGTCGGGCGGGCGGCCCTCTGCCTCACATGGACACAGGCCGCGGCGGCGCGGACAGCGAGTCCTGTGCAAGATGCGCAGGAGCTGCTGCTGGGCATCGTGCCCACTCTCTCCGTGCCCATGTCGGGCGTCCAGAGCAAAGGCTCAGGCCTTCGGAGGTCCACTCGGATGGCTTGGATCGGCGCTGGCCGATCTCCCCCGGCGCGCGGGGGCGCGCGCCAAAGGGCGGCGCCCGACGCGCCGCCACGGGAGCCGAGCTGCGATCCAGGAAATCTGCGAGGACCTCAAACCACTCACGTTTTGTTTTGTATGTCTCGGGGATCCTCTGACCCAAAGGTCAATCCAGACCCGGGTCAGCCAGGCCTTGCAGAATCCAGCAAGATCCTGCACCCAAGCCCGGGTCAGTGCGAAGGATCCTGCAAGATCCTGCAGGATTCTGCACCCAAACCCGGGTCAATCCGACCCTGGCCCTGCAGGATCCTGCGTGATCAGGCGCTCTGGCTGACCCCCGCTTGCACTGACCCCCGTCTCGAGGCTCCCGAATGTTATCGCTTCGTTCATTTCGCCGGCCCCATCATGTGGCATCGCTGGATGTTGTCCGCGCGTTCGTTGCCCATGTTGCGCTGCTGGGCGTTGGTCGCTTTCCAGCGGCGTTGCGTCTCAAGTCTTGGAGGCGGATCAGTTATTGTGTACTTGCTTCTGGCGGACTTGTTTGGGGGCCGTCATGGGTATGTGGCACCATCGTGAATGTGACTTCTCACCCATGGAGTCGGGCTTGTCAGCCCTGAAGTCCCGCTGTTGGGCCATTCGAGTGCTTATGTCGGGGCCCGTTTGCGGCTATGTTGGAATTTCCAGGGGGGCGGCGCGTTGCTCTGTGTGCGAGGATGCTGGACTTCATTCGGCCCGCTCTGGGACGAATCTTCTGGGATTCTGGGCCTCTCTGCGTATACGAGTTGAACATGCTCGGAGAATGTAACAAGAGACTCCCTCGGGTCCCTGGGAGCCCTCTCGGGGGCCTCTTGGTGTTTTTTGGGGGATCTGCATCCTGAGGCCTCACAGGGGCCTCTGGGAACCTCTTGGTGGCCTCGTGGGGCATCTTTGGGCCTCTTGGGGGCCTCCTTGGGCCCCTCTTGGGGTCTTTTCGGCTCTCGGGGGCATCTTGGGGCCCCTGGAGGGGCGAGGGCTGAAAATGTCCGTTCGGGTCTCTCGTCCGGGCCACCTGTTAGAGCCGTCTTGGGGGCCTCTTGGGCTGTCTTGGAAGCATCTTGGGCCGTCTTGGGGCCCTCTGGAGCCATTCTTGGGCCATGTTTGCAATCACTCGGTGTGGTTTTGGGCAGCCTTGGAGCGCCGGGGCGCAGAAAAGGCGAGAACGTCCAAGTCCTTCAAAATCCGCAATGAAATATACAACTGTTGCATTTAAGGGCCCTCTTTAGATGCTTTTTGGAGTCCTCTTGGGATGTCTTGAAGGCGTCCCGGGCCGTCTAGAGGCCATCTTCGGAGTCTTGGACGGATCGGACGGCGACTCGGAGCCCTCTTGGAACGTCTTGGGTTATGTAGCCCACCTCGTACTTCAGGACCACATCCCAGACATAATTCCGAGCACCCGTAAAAGTATCGAAACCGTGTCGAACGAGTATCGCCTCCCAGGGCCCGACACATGAAAACCCTCCAGTCTCGGTACTTTCTTGGTGCTCGAAGTCCTTTCTGGCGGTCAAGGCCAAAGTGGGTTGGAGCATCATGAATATTGGGGGCCTTTGGGGGACTTTTTGGAATGCTTCGGGGCGCCTGAGAAAGCCGAACCCAAGAAGAAAGCCATCTCCAAACCGACTTGGCCGGTCTTCTCCCGGGGCCGGGATATTCTTCGTCTGGGGACCCCCAGGGGCCGCTTCGCGCGGGCGAGCTCGAGATACTGCTTGCCGGTTGCCAGAGATCTGAGCCCGCCTCTGGCCAGTGGGGACGGCGAGTTGTTCGATGAAGCGCGCGCAGACTAGTCAGCACAGAACGTTTTGCAAACTGCAGCGTAAAGTACAAAAGGAGCTCAAACCTAGTGACTGCGTTGCGTTGACAGATCATTGCGTCCGAGAGACTGTATCACGCCGCGCTGCACAGTGCCGTCCATGAGAACGCACAGACCAGTCCGCAGCACACCGGTCAAAGTGTAAGGACAAGGCCGTGTAACATACATGGGCGTATCGCTGGGCACATCGCCTGGCATTCCTTGGCGTTGCTGGGCAGACTGAGGCCGTGAACCCGAGAAACCCAGGGGGACCCGAGAACCTTCGAGGAACGGGCCACGTAATAAACAATAGGAGCCACCCCGGAGCGGGAACCCGAGGAACCCGGGGAACCCGAGGACCCCCAGGAACCCGAGGAACATCCAGGGAACGGGCAACGTAACAATAGGAGGCACCACGGGCGGGGAACCCGAGGAACCCAGGGGACCCAAGGAACCTCCAGGAAACGGGCAACGCAACAATACTTAGGAGGCACCTGGGGCGGGGAACCCGAGGAACCCGGGGGACCCAAGGAACCTCCGGGAAACGGCCAACGCAACAATAGGAGGCACCTGGGGCGGGGAACCCTAGAAACCCGAGGGACCTCCGATGAACGGACAGAGCAACATTACGAGGCGCCAACCTCTAACCAAGTACGAGCCCCGCAGGCAAGCCAAATCGGGGACAGCCATGTGGCTATGCTTATGGTTATGGTGTCTGCGATTCGATCGAGGTCTGAAGTTTGGGATGATTTTTTGTTTTTCTGAAAGGGCTCTAGGACACACACATAAATACACACAAATTCGCCGGCCTAACGGGCCAGAGGCGTGCTAAGATCTCCGGCAACTGGTTAACAATATTTTTAGTTTGCGCGCGCGGGGCGGCCCCTGGGGGTCCTCCGGCGAAAAGTATCCCGACCGCAGCCCGACCAGGTCTACTCAGAGATGGTTTTGAGGGCCTTTTTTCGACACCCCTCACGAGGATCGTGGCCTCCGAGGGGGGTGCACTCGACTACCCCGCCCCAAGAGGCCCCCAAGAGCCCCCCAAGAGGCCCAAGGGGGCCCCAAGACGCCGCCAAGGAGCCCCAAGAGACCCCCAAGAGGCCCCCAAGAGGCACCTAGGAGGCCCCAAAGAGGCCCCCAAGAGGCTTCAAAGAGGCCTCATAGAGCGCTCGAGGGCCGGCGGAATGAGCGAAGCGATATAATAAAATGATTCCCCATACCTTCCCATATGTTCTGGGTGTTTGTCTTCCCCCCACCTCCCATAGTTTACCATATCTTGGGGCAAATCGACGATGCATTGTGTCTGTGTGATTTTTTCCCCCCCTGGTTTCTCACCCTCCTGTGACCTGCCGCGGTGCGCTCGCGGCCACGGCCGGCAAAGCCTCGGAGATCGCGTCGAAACACACACACACACACACGAGGAGGAGGAGGAGGAGGAGGAGGAGGAGGAGGAGGAGGAGGAGGCGGAGGAGGGTGAGGAGGGGGAGGCGGAGGAGGAGGAGGAGGAGGACACACACGCAACACACACACACACACACACGCACGCACGCACGCACGCGCACACGCACGCACGCACACACCGCTCGAGGCCCACGCGTCCGCCTCGGGCCACCAGGCCCGGGCTTTAGAGGCAGCTGCCGGGAAGTCTGCGTCAGGAAGGCAAGGCCAATCGACAATCTCCCTCCATATACATTTAAGTCGGGCGTGTCCCCCTACAGGGAGATGTTCGACGAACGATAAAAAAAAACTCACAAGATGATCCAAAATGGTCAACAGATACTAACAGATAGTCCCCACACCATTTTTCGACTGTCTTTGAATATCCCCCCTGTAGAGGGACAGGACCGACGTGAATATACATGTTTGCATGTGTGTATTCATGTATATGTGCATACATCTGCGTATACATACTCATATCCACGAACAAATACAGATAGAGCCGCACAGTATCTTCATGCATGTAAGGCCCATGATGCCCGGGGAAAACGCAGGCCCTGGGAAGGCCACGAGCACGCCGGGCTAAGCGGGATGAAGACGGATCGAACAGAAAGAAGCCAGACTGAGCATGATATACCAGCGCCGAGTCTGAATTTTCACCTCCCTGAAGCCTTCTTCTCCTCCTCCTCCTCCTCCTCCTCCTCCTCTTCCTCCTCCTCCTCCTCCTCTTCCTCCTCCTCCTCCGACACCCACGAAATCCGAGACGCTCGGTTCCCCGAAGTCCATGCTCGGGGCTCCGGGATCGTCGGCAGCCGATCCCAGATGCAGAACCCGTCCTGGGGAAGGCGGCCGCCTCCCGCACAAATCTAGCCGCGGGGCTCCACGCAAGAGTGGCCCTGGGTAAGAGTGACCTTTGCTGCGCAGCTTTTTGGGACCGCGGGGGGACCAACACACAAGCGCGCAAGACGCTATTATCGCATCGCGTTTGGCGACCAAGGAAACCCATTTGGCCCGCACCAAAGGTCACTCCGGCGAAATGTCACTCTTACGTCTAGTCGATAGCCGCGGGGCTCCTGGTTTCTACAAACTGCCAGGGGGCGAGCAGCAACCAGGAGTAAAGATGCCGGCTATGCCGGAGACGTCCACTGGGACCGAGGGTGAATATGAGGGCTACAAGGACGGGGGTACGGTGGAGGACGAGTCGAATTAGGAGAGAGGGAAGAGGAGGAAAACAGGGAAGGACGAGGAGGAGAGGAGGAATGGCTGGTAGGGGGAGGGGGACGGGAGCGGAGAGCGAGAAATGGCGACGAAGAGCAGGTTGGGAAGAAGGACGAGGAGGGTGAAGGCGGAGGAGGAGGCGGAGGCCGACGACGATGAGACACAGCAGGATGAAAAGAACGGGGACGAGGACGGTGGAAGCCGT